TTTTAAGTTTTTTTAAATATTTACATAATTTGAAAAAAAAACTCTTAAAATATTATTAGTAAAATTATCACACGAACTATTATGGAATTTCTCACTGATATTAATTATATCAAACTTAAATAATGGTTCTAAAAGATTAAAACATGTTTCTTTTTTAGAATACGAGGGATTTACTTGTTCTACGAGTGAATTTACTTATATTTACTTTACTTAATAATTCATGTTTTATATCAAATTTTAATAACTCAATCATTAAATTAAAATTTTTTAATACATTGATGAAGTCTACAAGTTTTTTCAAAAATTTAAAATGATTTGATATTTCGTTTCATTAATTTAAATTAACAGATATTTATATAAAAAGAAAATATTTTATACATTGATTTAAGTTAATGACATGGAGTATCAAACATATATATATATATATATATATATATTAATTTGCATAACTACTAGAAAAATTGTATTCTAAGTCGGTTATTTTGTAATATCTACATCGGTTCTAAAACTGACTTAGATGAGGGCGACGTAGATGAATGAACATATTTACATCGGTTAAGTAAAAATCGACTTAGATGTATGTGTTGATCTAAGTTAGTTTTCATAAAACCGACTTAGATGTATGTGTACATCTAAGTCAGTTTTTGTTAAGAACCGACTTAGATAAACACATACATCTAAGTCGGTTTTTACATAGAACCGTTGTAGATTATATTTTTTTTAACCAGGTTAATTTTTAAAATAAGACTGAATGAACTAATAACCTGTGAAAATTGATTCAATAAAACTTATCCAATTATCCAATTTAAGAGAAGCCACATCAAAATCCAACATGAACCAAGAGAGGTCAATCTGGGATCCATATCATTATAGGAATAACTCAGTTACATTATTATCATTTTATAATAAATAATACTAAAGAAGCCATATACTCAAAAACCAATAAAGGTCAATCTAGGATCCATAAAGAATAGTTTTTTCTTACAAGGAAAAGAGAAACTAAAAAAAAATATAGGTCATACTACATTAGACATGTACTTAGTTGCCTAATGCTAAAGCCACATTCACCTATTTCTAAAGTTTACACGTCATACTAAACAATTCAACATGATCTATTTCTAAATTTTTCTAGAAAGAAATTTCCCCAATGAATCCGAATGTCTTCCAATTTGGTTTCCTCCAATGGTGTAGCATCTTCAAAAACTTAGGACATGTTTGAGTAAATTTCTCCATAAATACTTTTAGGGTCTAGGGTGACTTAGAGTCTATTTGGGTAAACTTCTCTATAAGTACTTTTAGAAGAAAAAAATAAAATAAAATGAGTTTCTCTATAAGTTAAAATTAGTTTGTGTATAAGCTAATTTGTAAAAGATCTATCTTATTAGTTTTTTCAAAATCTTATTTTTAACTCTTGCATAAACTAGTTTTAACTTATGAAGGTTTTCTTTTTTATTTTTCTTCATATTTTTCTTTTCTCTTTTAAAAGTGTTTTTGTAAAAACTTATCCAAATATACCTTTACGCTTGAAAAAGTGAATTTATTCTTTTTTTAAAAGTTAAAAAACCAAAAACATCAATTTTATTGGAGATAAAAATGAAGTTACTTTAAATCTAAAAGACTGAAAAATATATTTCTTATACACTAAGATATCTTCTAAGTGGTAATTAAAGACTTTTTTTATTTATTTATTTTTTTTATGATCGAGAGATCACTTAAGTAGATTTTATCTTTTTTAACAAAGTATCACGATAAAAGAATTGAATTTTGTTACCATACTTAAAGAATTGATATTAAAAATAATAAGGTTACTTTAACTTAAATACTAAGCTCCATTTTTTGTGTCTTGAATATATATATGTGTATTTGATTATTTTAACCTAACAACTAAGCTCAACTTTGTGCCCCAAATGTATGTGTGGGATTATTTTTAACTTAACTACTAAACTAAAGTTTGTGTCTTGAATGTGTTTGCTAGCTTATACTTGAATTTTGATTAATTACTCTTTTAGTCTTTATACTTGAAGGATCTCCAGCTTCAAACCCTATACAAGCTTTTGTAATTTTTTTTGGGTCTCTCACGTTAAGTAAAACTTAATGTCATTAATCATGACTAACTTGGTATTGATGTGACATTGATATATATTGCATTTTAAGTTTTAGTGCCCATATTTGTACTTTCTTTACCATTTGATTTCTATACTTAAATTGTTTTTAACTTTTGATCTCTAGTATAATCTTTACATTTTAGTTTTTACACTTAGAAACCACATGTTTTAGTCTCTAATCTATACATGTAAATTTTTTTAAATCATCTTACACCAACTAATTTACACTTATACAACATTAAATAATCTTGAGGTTGTAAGGTTTAGATATGCTACTTAAATAAAACAAAATTACTTGTAAGTAATAATTTATGATGACACTTGTACCAGTAGGCACCTCCTCGGTCAGGCAATAGGCTGAAAGGGGTACCCAAACCGACAGAACACACCAGTTGACACCCCTTCGGTCAGGCAATAGGCCGAAAGGGGTACCCGAACCGATAAGACACCAGTTGGCACCCCTTCGCTCAGGCAATAGGCCGAAAGAGGTGCCCGAGCCGACAAAAAACACATCACCCCTTCAGCTAGAGGTTGGGCCGAACACCTCCTCGGCATTGACCTATGCCGAACACCCCCTCGGCCTTGGGATAGGCCGAATACCTCCACCACCACCAAGGACAGGACAAGTATCCCTTTAGTGTCAAAGTGCACCCTCTCGGCACTCACCCAGGTCGAACACCTTCTCGGCCTTAAAGTAGGCCGAACACCCTTTCGGTCTTACACCTGGCCGAACACCCCCTCGGCCCTAAGGGAGGCCGAACACCCTTTCGTCCACGCACCTGGCCGAGAACTCCAACAAAGAATGAGGGTTTGACAATAATTACTTGTTATACAATAGTTACCGCCCTTAATTAAGAATGATTAAGGATAATTACATATTACCCATCTCCCAATAATGAAGGCCCACCAGGCCCACACATGTCACTATAAATACACAGGTGATGTGACATAAATGAAGTACGTTACTGTTCCATATAAAGCTTTTATTGCTTTGAACCGAATACTTACTTGATCGTCGGAGTGCCTTTGCAGGTACCCTCCCCCACCACTTGGAAGTAGTATTCGGTCGGCTTCGGAGACTTAGAAGACCGCATGACAGGAGCGACAGGAGGAGTGTTCCTACGCAGGAACAACACTGCTTATAATGGCGTGGACTCACTGTATCATTTTCATTTTATTGTATAAAATATTTAGAAATATACAATACATTAACATTTGTTGAATCGATAATTATTTAATCCTCATAATTTTAAGATAAAAATGTTTACACTAAACATTACCTTTAACAGTGATTTTTGATAACAATAGGAAAATTATATAATCTAGAAAACAAATTAAATAAAAACTTTCACATGCTCCAAATTTTTAATGCAATGAGATTAAAATGATGTAATTACAATATGTAAAGAATCACAACATAAATTGCTACTTATAATCTAGTTTGTCTTATCTAGCAAATGTGTTTGAATTTTAAAGTCTCAAGATTCTTTGATTTAAGATTCATAAAATTTGATTCATGTGAGAAGGTTAGAAAAACATTAGTCAGAAAATCATACGAGGAAGGAAATATTGATAAAGAAAAATAAGAAAAGGAAAAAAGAAAGGAAAAAATAGAATGAAAAGTAAAAGTAAAAGAATTAAGTGTTTTGTAGTAACTGATGCATTAAATAAATTACTCATATAAGAGTGAAATATGTAGTTTCCAAGTGTAATATGTGAAACATAAAAATTATGTATATGAGTATAAGAACCAAAAGATAAAAAATATAAAAATGATGCAAGTACAAATACGAAAAAGTAAAAATAGTAGAAATATTTAAAAAAAAGATATAACAAATATAAAGACAAAAGGAAATGGTGTTAACATCCCATGTCATTTAGAAATTTGATAATTTATAAAATTTGTATGAATACTAAAAAACAGAGAATTTGAAAAAGATGAATTAAGAAATAAGAAAAGTAATTAAATGAATAAAATTTGAGGAGTTATATATAATATAATATTGGGAAGAAAAGCATGTGGAGAGAGAAAAGAAGATATTTATGATAAACATAGTTATTGCATAGAAAAAGATGAGGATTTAATTGTATTAATAAAAAAAAAGAAAAAAGAAAAAAGAAAAAAGAAAAAAGAAAGGGGAGTGTGTGTTAATGAGTTATAAAGTATAAAGAGTGTTGGTTGATGATGCAGTAGGAAACTTCGTGGAAGGTAGCAAGAGTGAGAAATGGCCCTCACGCAGAAGCAGAACCCCCATTTAATCCCCTCCACCTTCCACTCTCTTTCCCCTCAACACCAAACAAGCTTTCCTTTTCCTTCCATCCCCATTCCCAATGAAGCTCATTAGCCTCACCCCCAAACGCCTCTTCCGCTCCAAAAGGGAACGCTCCAAGCTCTCCTCCCGATCCGACCCGCCTTCGTTTGGCTCCGGATCCTCCTCCTCCTCCTCCTCCTCCGAGGGCTCCACCCACAAACCCCACACCCCCACCAGCGTCCTCCCCGACCTCGCCCAGGCCTTCCGCCTCATCGACCGCGACAACGACGGCCTCCTCACGCGCCACGACCTCGAGGCCCTCCTCACGCGCCTCGGCGCCCACGACGTACCCACCATGCTCACCGAGGTCCATGGGGACACCATCACCGTCGAGTCCCTCGTGGACCGTGTCGGCTCGGGTATGGAGTCCGGGTCGGACCCGGATGAGCTGAAAGAGGTGTTTCAAGTGTTCGACACGGATCGCGACGGGAGGATCTCGGCGGAGGAGCTGCTGAGGGTGTTCCGCGCCATCGGGGACGAGCGGTGCACCTTAGAGGAGTGCCGGCGCATGATAGAGGGAGTGGACAGAAACGGGGACGGGTTCGTCTGCTTCGAGGACTTCTCCCAGATGATGGACCTGCAGCACAACTGGTGAATGGTGAAATCATCGTCGTCATCATCATCATCATCTTATCACATGTCCAACATTTCAAATTTGATGTATAAGATGGAAGGCAACTTCTTCAATTTTTTTAATCTCTTTCTTATTATTTTTTTATTTCCATGTATAATCTTCAGTGCCAAACTGCAATCCATCGTGTATGCGATTAGGGAATTCCACCTTTGCCAATCACAAGAGAAACCGTATATATAATCAACAAATATCTATTTTACAATTGGATCATTGCAATTTTTACTATTTCACATTTTAATTAAATTTATATTTTTTTCCTAAAAAATTAAATTAATATATGTAACACCAACTACCGGATTCAAGATTTTGAATTCACTGAAAAAATAACCCAATTAAAATCACGATCAATGAAAAATGTGTTTCCAGGAAAAATAAAAAAAAGTATAAAAAAAAAAAAAAACTTATGAACATAACTTTTTTATTCAATTGGGTTGAGTTGAAGACGGTGTGGTTGGGAAAGACGGTAGTCATCTTCCTTATCAATGACTGGGCTATTAAAAACAAAATAACGTCTACCCGTGGACGGTGAGGTTGGAATGGAGCTCTAATGGTGGAGCCCAGGGGATAGAAAAGTTGCAACAAAATACATGTTTAATTTTTATTATTATTTGGAGGGGAGAGACATTTTCTGTCTTTATATAATTATTTAAAATATAATAATAATAAAATAATTCAGAAAAATAATACAAGTTAGGCTAAAAACTTATTTTGGTCCTTATAATAATTGTTTGTTTCAATTTAGTCTCACTTTTATTTTTGGTCTCAATTTGATCCCAAATAAGTTAATTGGTTTCAATTTGAGATTTCCGTCCAAATTATTTAAACGGAATTAACTGTTGGCCACGTAGATGCATAGGTAGATACTATGTGGATGCCAATTTTTTGAAAATACCTGGAACCAGAACGACCCGTTCCGAAACCAGAACGGGTCGTTCTGGGTGCACTCTTGATGTGTTAATTTTGCATATGAAACGTGTCGTTCCAGATGCAAAATCAACACACCACCAGTACATCAGAACGGTCCGTTCTGAAACCAGAACAGGTCGTTCTGGTTTCGGAAAGGGCCGTTCTGAATCCTGAACGGCCCGTTCCAGAACACAATGAAGACAATAAAATATTCTTTATTAATTTTATTAAAAAATATAATAATTTTAAAAAATATTTTTTTATGGTTAAAATTTTAAAATTACTTATTTTTATAAAATATAATTCTTATAAATAGAGTAATAACTTTTCCTTTTTCTCTTTCTGTCTGAAGAAATATTTAAGTGTCACTTTATAATTTTTTGCAACTTATTTAAAATTAGAGGAATAAAATGATAAAAATTAATAAGATAAACATAATAAAATTATTAATTTATTTTCTTTTAGTGTCCTCTAAATTTTTACATTCATTTAAAACAAAAATATTTTATATGTTAATTTGAATTAATTTAACGAAGTATCATATGATTTTTAATTTTTTAAATTTTTTTATAAATTTGATTTATACATGAAAAGCTTTTTAATTTAACAATTAAATTTTTAAAAATTTGATATAAAATATTAATTATTAAATAGAATAAATCTATTAAGACTTATTCTTGAAGTAAGTAAATTTTTTCTTCATTGAAAATCAAGATAATTTTACCACAAAATAAAAAACAATTAAACAATAAAATAAAATATAAAAAAATATTAAAGTATTTATTATATTAGATATAACAACATAATTAAAATATAATTAATAATATATATTTTATAAAGTTAATATTATATATATAAAAAAAATGAAAAAAATTTTAGTGTCTCCACTATGATTAACTTAGATCTGTCCCTGCATGTGGTTGTGTGGTGAAATGTTAGTTATGTGTATCCTCTTTTTTTACTTCAGGTTCTACCTCTTCAAGAACAGGTTGTTGTTGTTGGGGTACATCGTTAATGACTTCAAGAAAAAATATCATATCATTTCATCCTTTACTGCATAGTGTCAATTTGGTAGTAAATGGTTCACTCCAGTTTGAAATGAAATAAAATCTGCTACCATTATCTTTAGTGATACACTACATTGTCCTTAATGATACACTGTATAGCCTAACTGTTTAGCAATTGAAGTTATCAATTTCCATTGACAATATTACCAAATTCAGTGTTTGAAATGCTTTGTACCTTGGGTCTTTTTCCTTCCACGATTAACAATCGTGAACTATAATCATTGATCGTTTATGTTTAGCAGTCTGGAACCAGAACGGTCTGTTCTGAAACCAGAACGACCCGTTCTGGTTGCACATTTAGTGTGTTAATGTTGCACCTGGAACGGGCCGTTCCGGATGCAAAATTTACACACCAAGAGTGCACCCAGAACGACCCGTTCTGGTTTTAGAACGGGTCGTTCTGTTCCAGGTGTTTTCAAAAAATTGGCATCCACGTGGCTTCTACGTGGCATCTACGTGGCTTCTACGTGGCATCCACATGGCATCCAAATGACATCCACCTATGCATCTACGTGGTATCCAGTGGCCAACAGTTAACTCCGTTTAAATAATTTGGATGAAAGTCCCAAATCGAAACCAATTAATTTATTAGGGACCAAATTGAAACCAATTAATTTATTAGGAACCAAATTGAGACCAAAAATAAAAATAGGACTAAATTAAAAAAAACAATTATTATAAGGGACTAAAATACTATTTTAGCCTACAAGTTATTATAATTAAAAGGTGAGTAGTTTTCTTTTTTTAATAGAAGAGAGAGTAGTTGGAGAGTAATTACAGGTAAAAATGTTAGTTAAAAAAATGTGTAAACGAACAAAATATATTTTTTTGGTAAAGAACGAACAAAATATATTAATATTATATGATATTATAGTTTATAATTTTTTATTAATAAAAAATTTGACATGTGTGCGGGCGGCTGTAGTAAATTTGAATGGTTGATAATGAAATTAGTTGTTAATATTTTATTATTTTAATTAAAAAATATTTTTTATAATTTTATAGTCTTTATAATTTAAAATAAATATTTTAATTCATATATTTATCTCTTTTAATTCTTTTTAGTCCATATAATTTAGGCTTAATTGTGTTTTTGATCCTTCAAGTATTATAATTGTGCAATTTTGACCCCTAAAATTTTAATTAGGTAATTTTAGTCCTTAAAAGATTATAATTGTGCAATTTTGGTCCTTTACTTTTTAATTGAATAATCTTAGTCCCTCAAATATTATAATTGTGCAATTTTAATCTCTCATTAAAAATTTAATAATTTTAATATATATATATATATA